AACTTTACAGTCCTGGAGTCTCACTCAACCGTCAATGAAAATAGTCACGCCCCTAAATCTAGAATAAGAAATAGAGACTCATCTGACCTGGTAACCTTTTTCCAATCATTTTTCAAGTTTTGGTGAGTCTGTGTGAATTGTAGCCTCAGTTTCCTGTTCATAGCTGATGGGTGTGGTCTTCTGCTGCTGTAGCCCTTTTGCTTCAAGGTTCAATGTTTTGTGCATTTGATGCTCTTCTGCATAGTTTGGTTGTAACTTGGGGTTATGAGTTACTACTGCCTTTCTACAAGCTGCAAGCAGCCTAGCCATACTCCTCTGACCTCTAACACTGACAAGTGTTCAGTGGATATTTTCTCTTTTTCAGACCTCTCTGTAAACCCTAGAGATAGCTGTGTGGGAAAATCCCAGTAGATCAGCAGTTTCTGAAGTACTCAGAACAACCTTTTTGCCATTCACAGCCATGCCGTGTTCAAAATCACTTAGGTGACCTGTCTTCCCAATTCTGATGTGAAGTTTGAACTTTGTCTTCACCATGTCTATGCGCCCTAAATGCTGCCATGTGATTGACTGACTAAATCTTCGTTATATCAAGCACTTTAACCGATGTACCTAGTAAAGTGTACAGTTTAAACACATTTGCGGAATATTTAAATAAGAATATTTAATTCCCATTAACCTCTGTACATTTGTCATGAATAGAAAAATTGACTATACAGACCAGAAATTTAAATCCCTGTTGGGGGGTTACGTGCTTTTGGAGGCATGCCCAAGTGGCCCTTTGAGGACCTGGGATTCCATCATTACTTTATGGGTGGTATTTGACACTAATCTACAGTTTCGATTAGGCACAATTAAAAAGGCCATGATTTTTTTTCCCCCTGGAATTCTTTAAGGTCACTAATACACTGATGACGAAGACACGACGACGGCGACTATATTTCAGAATTCTTCCAAGTCACTTTTATCCAAACAGCCCTGGGTTATCAATTTTTGACTTTCATTTTTACAGCAAATCTGGGGATGTTTTTCAGGTATAAATTTAACAACAGATAGTGTAGGGCTTAAGGGATTAAACTGCATTGCTGTCAGGACCTCTATAG